TTATTTCTCAAATTAAACCGACTAATTTATTCGACTATCAACTTACTACTCAACTTAACATAATTATCCAATTAAGCTTTTTAGAATAATACTGATAATTCTCAACTTTGACGATTTCCAATAATCAAATCCTTAATTAATTTAATTAAATAATTAATTAAATTCGGGGCGTCACAGATCACACCATCATGCGTATCTCTTGCAGAACTAGGCACATACTACCCAGAAGTTGTGACCATTGGTGGTCTTGCAGTTACTAGTTGTGTTGTTGTAACTATATTTCGTGTCGTCGAAGATACAACCACCAGACTAGAACCTACACTCGTTGTCGTGCTGGTATTTCCTCCCAGGTTTTGATCCCTTTCAAGAGTTCTAGGATCTACCATTTTTCTACCACTTCTTAATTTCATGCCCAAAACAAGAAGACTCAAACACATATGGGTTCCTTCGGGTGTGTCAATTTGTTTCTCCGTGAAATAATCGCTAGCCACTTATTAAAGGTTACTTGCATGATCGACTACAGTAATTCTAGACTTAGTGTATTGAGTGTTTTTGGGTTAAAACTGATTGATTTGGATAAAAAAGGAAAAAGTAAGACAATTGCTATGAATTTAAATGCGGATGCATTCATACATTGTTAAGTCTAATCTCGTTTCTCTCTTAGATGCGGGTGCTTTGAATGTAATGCTCTAAATGTGAAGAAATGCAACCTCTGACACAAATACAAATATTTTCGTAAATAGAAAATCTAAAAGTGTAACCATCAACGGTTACTAGTCCGACGTTGGGGCTTTATGGAGAATTGCCTTAAATTGCTTTGAACATCTCTATGTTCTAACTGGCTTGCATGTTGATAACTGTTCGTGCCACCATATATCCTTGCTCGTCGACCTTTATGCTTGTCGATGGCTGCCTCTGAATCCCTTGTCCTTGTCGACTAGCTCTTCTGGTCAATATCCTTTAACTCGATCGACACATCATATGGTTTCCTACAAACTCATGCCTTTTTAACCAAAGAACTCTTATAGCTTAACGACTTATTTCCCTAGTTGAAAATTGCTTGTAAACAGTATGGTGTCTATGTTCAGGTTATGACACAAGATATAATAGTCATCTGCTTATATGTCGATGACTTGCTAGTATTAGAAATAGCTTAGAGAATTTGTTGAAGTTCAAAGAGCTGATGATGAGAGAATTTGAAATGTCAGATATGGGGAAATTGTCTTATTTTCTAGGCATGAAATTCCAAATGGCGAAGCAAGGTATGGTGTTGCATCAAAGGAAGTATGTCAAAGAGACACTCAAGAGATTTAGGATGGATGATTCACTTCTGCATCTTCTCCTGTCGAACCAAATTTGAAGTTGAAGAAACATGGAGAATAATACAAAGTCGATGTAACTTTGTTTAAACAAATAGTTGGATCTTTAAGGTATGTGCGCAACAGTCGATCTGATATAGGTTTCACAGTTGGATTAGTGAGTAGATACATGAGTGAACTAAGGGTGTCACATATGAAGGCTATAAGAAGAATTTTGAGATACTTATAAAGAACGATAAATTATGGAATTCTATTTTGATGAAACTCTGAAAACAAAGAAGCAACAATTATTTATTTTTCAGATGCTGATTGGTATGTAGATAAGGAAGATCGAAAAAGCACAACTGGATATTTATTTCAAGTATTTGGTGTCACAATCTCATGGTGCTCGAAAAAGCAACATGTGGTGGCATTATCATCGTGTGAAGTTTAATATATAGCAGGATTCTATGCTGCATGTCAAGCAATTTGGATCAGATCAGTATTTGAAGAAATGGAGGTCGAAGTGAAGAAACCTCTTGCGTTGCAAATCGACAACAAGTCATCCATAAATATGGCGAAAAATCTAGTTCTGCATAGAAGAAGTAAGCATATCGAAGCTAGATTTTACTTTTTGAGGGAAAGGGTAAATCGATGGGAATTTGAACTTAGGCATTACTCAAGTGAAGCACAGTTGGCCGACATTTTCACCAAAAGATTGAAGATCGACAGATTCTTAAATTTAAGAAAGAAATTATAAATAGTTCATATTGACTATTTTTAGAGTATGTTTGACAAATTAGATTTTGGGGGATATGTTGAGATATTAGACTTAATCCATCAAGTTGTGTAACCTAAGTCCAAATCTAATTAGAGTTTGTTAGCTAATTTAGTGTATAAGTTAGGTGTATATAAATAGTTATAATTTATATCATTATTTGTAATAATTCAATTTAATAATACAATCCTTAATTCTTTATTCTCTCTTGCTTCCCTCATTAAAAATGTCTCACACACTAATAATATTCAATCCTTTGCTTAAAAAATTATCTTAATAGTTTGCTTATATTTATTCTTAATAATTGCTAAAGGGACCAAATAATAACCGGAATAATAATAATTAAATTCTATTGAGTGTTTTTTTTTTTACCTCTAATGCTAACGTTATAGAGCATAACTGATAAAAAAAAATAACTTTGGTTAATGTAGATTAGGTTGTAGGTTATTATCGATCGATCTAATATTCTCATTTTTAAATGAGATATTAACTTCTACTTGCTATTTTGAGAATTCTTCCATACATTAGATCGTATAGTCATCCTCATTTGTATCCAAATAAATAATAACATAATATGTAGGTCATATTCAGTTTCTCTCTTAAATAAAAAATTATATTTATGGATAATATCATAAATAATAATATGAATAGTATAACAATAATATTTATCAAAGTGTCCATGAACAATAATTTTTAATAATAAAATAAAATTAATTAATAAAATATTAAAAATTGGTCAATAAAATGATAAAGTTGCTTCGCTTCGCCGCATGCGTTCGTAACAAAGATTTGCCACGCCGCCTGCGTTCGTGACTTCGATTCACGATTCTGGTGTGTTCGTGACGGCATGATTCTCCAGTGTTCGTGACTGTTTGATTTGCTTCGTGATTCTCCTGCGTTCGTAACTTTGCGTTTCGCTTCGTGTTTCTCCTGCTCGCTTCAACTGAAGTCCTGTTGTGTTCGGTTGTTCCCCTTCCAGCTTAGTGTTGAAATTAGTGAATATACTGTGTTGAATATATTGTGTTGAATATATACTGAGTGCTGAATATATTCTGAATATACTTGGGGAATATACTGCGTTGAAACACACTTAGTGAATAATGTAATATGAATAAACTGTGTTGAAACTATGTTGAATATACGTAGTGAAACTGTGTTGTAATTTTGTGAATTATATTGAATACAGTGAAATTCTGAACTTGTTGCTATCGTGTTGATTTACATGTAGGGATTATAAGAATTTAATAATGATATTAACATTAATTAAAATGATGGAAGTGGACAAATATCCAACGCAATTGAACATGTGAATATTGTTGAAGAAAATTTAAGTAATTTTGTGAGTCAAGTCAGAATTATTTGAATTTGTGTTATCTTAGAAGGAACAAAGTTATTTTATGTTATTATGAATATTTGTAATTTAAAATTTTTGGAATAAATTATTTAATTTTATATGTTACATTAGATAATTTATGGTATATTTTAAATAATTTGAAAGTTAATGTCTTGTTTTACCTTTTAATTATTAATTTATACGAATTATTTAAAAAATTTAATTTTAGATATGAAAATTTCTTATTTAGAAGTCATAATTTTAAATTATTTATAAAATTTAATATAGATATTATTGTATAGAATTGTATGATTACTCATAATAATTTAGAAAAAAATTTAATTTTTTTTAATAAATGAGTCTGTTTAGGATCGTGGTCCGTTTATGATCGGATTATCTGCGGTTTAGATAGAGTTGGATTGGATAGTAAAACTAAATTTTACTTAAATATAAATTTTTTAAATCTGAGGTCTATATAAACCGGTCTGTTTATAATTAGATAGTCTATTTTGAAAATTTTAATATTAGTGAGCACTAAAGTTCGGTGTGGATGTAAAAATCTTCCGTTTAGTTTCACCATCATAATTTTTTTTAATTAAATATATTTAACTTAGAATAATTCTGGATGAACTTCATAAATTATCCTAATTGTAATTTCTACAATTTTTTTTGTAAGGATTCTGTTTTCTTTCTTTCATAAATTTAATCGGTGTGTAATCTCGTTGGTTTTGGAGATTTGCTTGTTCCTTTTATAATTAAGTTTGAGAACATTTAGTTCTGATTTCAATATATTTCTTGCTTAGAAAAAAAAGTTTATCCTATTTTAAATTAAAATTTTATGTGACAACATGTACGGTTCAAACATATATATATATATATATATATATATATATATATATATATATATATATATATATATATATATATATATATATATATATATCAATTGATCAAAATTTATTACATCTTTAATCTCTCGTTAAGACATGATTCTCCTCAATTTATTTATTTTATGTTACTACTTTGAAGTTATGAGTAACGTTTTAAAATATAACTTCAATATAGTATTAAGTTGAGGAAGATAAAGGGGTCAAAAACGAAAAGACAACAAATTAACAAAACAAACATTAAAGTGATCTATTGCATTGCATAGATATCTCTTGGTGTATCATTTTATACATAAAAAATTCAGCTACATATCGTGATCTAGAATTTTCATGTCACCCTATGATGATGGTTACCAAAACCAAAAGGGCACGGATATTTCTGAACCTAGAACTTGTAATTGATGAACACATAGCCAAAAGAAGTGACCCCAATCAATTAACAATATGCCACATACCCTCTTTTGCATGTTACTCTCATGCTGCTTAGCCACATACACCCCCTTCTTACCTTTTTATTTTCTCTTTCTTAACTCACACTCCATTTCATTCTCATTCTATTCACTTTCTCTTCTTCCTATATAATAACTCTCTTACCCTTTCTTTCTCTCCACATTCCACAACACACATTACTCTCTTTTTCTATTTACATCTCTCTTTTGCTATTTAAAACTCCAATCTTTGCTATTGCTATTTGCACTCCCACAATGAGTACTATTTGTGATGAACAACAAAACCACAAGTTTCATTCTTCTTACCAACCTCTCTCTCCCAAAAAACCTCTTAGAGAAATCGATATCCCTCCAAGAAAACTCCTCACCCGCCGCACGACTGCCGCCGACATGTTCTCCGATGACACCATCCTTCAAAAATATCTCCCTCACAATGACTCCGACTCAGATTCCGATGATCCTTACTCTTCCGACCATTTTCGTATGTACGAATTCAAAGTCCGGAGATGCACTCGCAGCCGAAGCCACGACTGGACTGACTGTCCATTTGCACACCCTGGAGAAAAAGCACGCCGTCGCGATCCACGGCGGTTTCATTACTCGGGGACTGTCTGTCCTGATTATCGCCGTGGTGGCTGTAACCGCGGTGATTCTTGTGAGTTTGCTCACGGTGTTTTTGAATGCTGGCTTCATCCTGCTAGATACAGAACAGAAGCTTGCAAAGATGGGAAAAACTGTAAGAGAAAAGTTTGTTTTTTCGCACACACTCCTCGTCAGTTAAGAATCCTTCCGGTAACTTCTTCTTCTTCGAATTCAAATGAACAATTCTCATGCAACAAGAAAAATAACAAGCTTTTAAATAACCATGTTTCATCAAAATCAAACCATGGTTGTTTGTTTTGTCGCTGTGGAGGTAATGCTAATGCTAATAATTCTCCAACTTCAACTCTTTTTGGTATGTCTCATTTCTCGCCGCCGGCGTCTCCTCCTGTATCTCCGATGAAGCCGCGAAATGGCGTTTCATCTCTCTCACGCTATGGTTCATTGGTTGATAGTAATAATCTTCGTTATAGAGACATGCTTATTGAACTTTTGGGCTCTTTTGAAGGATTGAATTTCAATGACGGTTCATCTTCTTCTTCCGTTGTTTCTGGTTTACAGAACCAGAACAACACAGGTTATTTTAATGTTCCTGTTAACTCCGAGGAACAGATTCAGAAACAGCATTTCAATATTCTTTCACCTTCGATTCAACAGAGTTTGACACCGGTTAGTTTCAATGAAGGTGACAATAACATAAACAACAACATGGTGTTTTTGGGAGATAACGAGAATAATAAGGTTCTTGTCGGGGGTGATGTTCCTGATCTGGGTTGGGTTAATGACCTTCTGATGTAGAAGAGTGGTGAACTTGAAGATGGTGGATGGGTTTTGAATTATGAAAATTTCAGTGGAGTGAAGTGTAAATATGAAGAGTTATATGATATTACATATTTACCCCTGCAAATGTTAAAAGGAGAAAAATATGGGTTTAAGTTATTTTGTTATGTTTATTTTTGTTGCATTGTTTTCAAAGCCAGTCAATAATTATGTTATTTTATGATGTACTATGCTCTTGGATAAAATGGAATATTTTGATTCATGTGTTTTTGTGCTTTACTTTTCATTGGTGACTATTACTTTGATACGTGGTACAAATCTACTCAATTGAAGATGGATACAAAAGTTTTGGGATTGGGTGTTTTTTGTATTTTTGGGAAGTGAAACAGGAATATTGTGACACATGGTCATCATGCAGTGTTTGTCGTGGCAAAAGTGGAAGCCATTTTTTAGGATAATCCAAAAATAGGTAAAGAAATAGGGTAGCATTACCAAAAGAGGTAAATATAATAGTAAAACAAAAATAGCTAATAATATAGTACTACTTTAAGGATGTACTAGTAATAAGCAAGTGTGAAACTACGAAAATAAGGGGAAAAAAAGGCAAGTTTTGTAATTAAAATCATGGGTCAACTACTAATGAAGTGAAGTGGTTGAACCTCAAATTAGATGTGATAGTACATGTACGAAGGATAAGAAAACATGAATCCTAATGGTTTTTATGGCAGTTCAGAATTTAGTTAAATCAAGCATTTTAAAAGTATGTCACTTAGAGGAAATAGTGTTAATCTCTGTTGTCAAAATTCCGTTTAAAATTTCTTTTAAAAGATTATGTGGTCTAAATTCCATTAATTTTTTTTAAAAGATTATGTTGTAGACGGTAATGAGTTGATATTAATTTTTTAATTTTTTATTGTCATTATTACACGTGAATAATCATATCATTTCTTTGCATTTGTACACTCTTCTTCTTTGCATCTTTTACATCGACTGCAAACTCGAACTCATTTCAAGTGTCCGTATGTGATAGTAATAGATCAATGAAAATATTTATGTCAAACTCAACTGCAAACTCGAACTCATTTCAAGTGTCTGTATGTGATAGTAATAGATCAATGAAAATATTTATGTCAAATTCACTTGAAAACTCAAAATAGAGACATCGAACTCATTTCAAGTGTTCGTATGTGATAGCAATAGATCAATGAAAATATTTATTAGAATATACGTATTATACATAATCTATTTTTTACTTCTTTGTATAGTCCAACTAGCTTACTTGTCATCTAACTACTGGGCCCAATTCTTGTATATATAGTCTTATCTTGTAACTATTAATCACATAATGGAATAACAGATTTTATCTTCTTCATCAATGGCTTATTTTCTTTTCTTGCCAAGTTTGTTATTCTGTTATATTTTCTTGCCATAATCAACATGATATCAGAGCTTCAAAAGCTCCGGTAGCCATTGTTTTACCTTTTTCTTTCTCCCTGATTTCTTTCTTGGAAGCTCTCTTTTCTGATTCTTTCTTGTTCTATCTTCATCGAGCTTCATCTTATCTTCTTGTTTCTTTCAATGGCAAACCAGAGCTACGTCGATTTCGCAATCAACTTTGCAAACTTATACTACCTTCATCCCAACGAGAGCCCTGCTCTCGTTCTTGTTTCACCATCTCTTACTGATAAGAATTACCACACCTAGTCCTGTTCAATGCAGATTGCTTTAATCTCCAAAAATAAAGAGAAGTTCATTGATGGAACTCTCATCAAGCCACCTGTCTCTGATCAGTTGTACGTCCCATGGATTCGTTGCAACCCATGGTGCTCGCGTGGATTCACCGATCGATTTCAGAGTCTATAGCTAAATCTGTTCTTTGGATTGATAACGCTGTCGGTATACGGAAGAATCTCCAAGTTAGGTTTTCTCATGGCGACATCTTCTGCATCTCTGACATTCAAGAGGATTTATACAAGTTTCGTCAAGTTATGCTTGATGTTTCTAACTATTTCACACAATTGAAAGTCATATGGGATGAATTAGAGAATTATCGACCCATTCTTGTTTGTTCTTGTAGGATTCCATGTGCTTGTGGTGTTGTTGCATCTGTTAAGACGTATAGGGAACAAGATTATGTCATTCATTTTCTCAAAGGATTATCAAAAAAATTTACACACTCAAAGTCCCAAATTATGATGATGAATCCTCTCCCCAATATTGAGAAAGCTTTTTCACTTGTTATTCAGCAAGAAAGAGAAATGGATAGTTCTGATGCTGGTATTGTTTCATCTACGGATTCCACTGAAGAAGTCTCTGCTCTTTAAGTTCAAACACGCTCAGAAAATTCTGCTGCTAGATCTGGTAATAACAGTTATCGTGCTAAGCATCAAGGTTCTAATGTTGCAAAGGGAAATGTCAGATTGTGCACACATTGTAACAGGACGAATCACACGATTGAGACATGCTTTCTTAAGCATGGATTTCCACCATGTTATCAACTTAAGGGAAAGAATTAAGGGAATGCTCAATCTTCTTCACCTGCTGCATCTATTTACAATGCCTCTGAGTCTTCCCCTGCGAGCTCCACTGCAGCATCGTTTGGTTTCACTAAAGACCATTATGAAAGCATCCTAGCATTACTTCAACAATCCAAGCCCAACCCTGCAGCTAACTCTGTATCAACCTCACCTTTTGTTCTGAATTCTCATTCCTCCAATGTTGTTGGTAAGAATTCCTTTCTCTGGATCCTAGATACTGGTGCCACTGACCATTTTTCTTTCAATCTCTCTTCTTTTACTGATCATAAATCTATAGTTCCTATACCCGTAAATATGTCTGATGGTTCACAAGTTCCTGCCTCTATATCTGGCACTGTTACCATATCACCTTCCTTAACCATACACAATGTTCTTTATGTGCCTAGCTTTTAGGTTAATCTGATCTCTGTAGCAAAGCTTGTTGATCATAATCAATGTTTTGTTCATTTCAATGCTAATGCTTTCCACATTATGCAGAATCATTCCAAGGAAATGATTGGTATAGCTAACTTGCACCGAGGGCTCTATGTGTTTGATTCCACTCCTCGCCATTCTTCTGCAAATAAATCTACTACTCATACTTCTTGTAATTTGTGGCATTTGCGCTTAGGTCATATTTCCAATATAGGCTTACAAACTGTTTATAAGTTTTTCCCTTTCATTACATGTAACAATTACAATGTACCTTGTGACTCTTGTCACTTTGCTAAACAAAGAAAACTTCCCTTTCCTAATAGTACTTCTATGTCTTCTGTTCCTTTTAATATCTTACATGCTGACTTATGGGGTCCATATTCCACCATTTCTACTTCAGGTCATAAATATTTCTTGACCCTTGTGGATGACTACTCAAGACATACTTGGGTTGTATTTCTTAAAACTAAAGACCAAACTAAAACAAGCTTCATCAATTTTATAGCCTATATTGAAAACCAATTTCAAACAACCCTTAAATGTCTGAGATCTGACAATGAAATTGAGTTTATAGCTTTATCTGGATTTTTTCTTTCAAAAGGCATAATCCATCAAAAGACATGTGTTGAGACACCCCAACAAAATGGGGGTGGTTGAAAGAAAACACCAACATATACTCAATGTAGCTAGATCCATCTTTTTCCATTCCAATGTTCCCCTAACTCTATGGAATTTTTGCATTCAACATGCTGTCCACATTATTAATAGACTACCCTCTCCTCTTCTTCATTCAAAATGTCCTTATGAACTCTTATTCAAACAGCCACCATCATTAATCCATTTAAAAGTGTTTGGTTGTTTATCTTATGCCACGTCTCTTTAAGCACAAATAACAAAATTTGCCCGTAGAGCCAGAAAAGCAGTTTTCCTTGGATATCAAGAAAGTACCAAAGGTTACATTCTTTATAACCTTGAAAGTCACAATATTTTCATCTCAAGAAATGTCATCTTTTATGAAAATGTTTTCCCTTTCAATACCAAAATTACATCTTCTAAAATTCCCTTACAATCTGTTTCTCAAAATCATGACTTATATTCTGAGATATCTCCCCCTTCTCCCAGTCAGCAAGCCAACACAACTGATTTATCTCCTCCTTCTGAACTAGTACATCTCAGAGTGACAGTGATGTTGCTTCTCCTCAACCAGTACAAATTCATAGTCCCAGCTTTGTTTTACCTTTTTCAACTGATATGACCTTTCAGCCTGACTCAGCACAGAGCAGTCCTACCCCCCCCCCCCCCCTTTCCTACTGCAGATTCACATAGCCAGCCTGTCACTCTCAATGCTACTGCAGAGCTAGCCCCTGAACTGCATCAGTCAACTAATCAATTTCATAGCCTTTCTTTTAAACCTCCCTCTCATAGTCCCAGCATCCAAGACTCTATAGAACTTCCTTCTTTACCCACTAGAAAACCCTCTAGACCTACTCAACCCCCCCCCCCCACTACTTAAAAGATTATCATTGCTATTCTGCTCATTTCAATAATAATCCTTCTACTGCCTTTTCTAAAGTCTTATATCCTTTATCATCTGTTCTTACTTATGATCAGTGTTCTCCCTGTTATAAAAAATTTTTTTTTTCTGTATCAACAAATATTGAACCAAAAACATTTAACCAAACCATAAAAATGGATTGTTGGAAACACGCTATGGATGTTGAAATACAGGCCCTTGAAGAAAATCAGACATGGACTGTGGTTGATCTCCCACCAGGAAAGGTTCCTATTGGTTGCAGGTGGGTATATAAGATTAAGTACAAGGCAGATGGCTCCATTGAGAGATACAAGGCAAGGCTTGTAGCAAAGGGTTACACACAAATGGAGGGCATTGATTATTTTGATACCTTCTCCCCTGTGGCCAAAATCACAACTGTCAGGGTTCTTCTTTCTATAGTTGCTATAAAGGGTTGGCATCTTGAGCAACTAGATGTCAATAGTGCTTTTCTGCATGGTAATTTACATGAAGAAGTGTACATGACACCTCCTCCTGGAATTTCCATTTCTAAT